AAAAAATATCTATAGTTTCTTTACAATTTTAAGTCACTTTCGATTTATTCGGCCGTGTGATAGGTTTATTTTAGATTAAATAAATAACATGAAAATGACACGTTTAGGATATTTTTCATGTCAAATATAATCGCTAATTAAATGGCCTGATCAATTCACCAAACTACTCAGTGGCGTCGAAATTGTGGGGTTCTTACTGACGGTCTCCCAGTGTCTCTGACTATCTGCCACTGGTTAATGTAACTCAACGAATTTTAGATACCTAGATAAAAAAATGGGCACACCTGATAAGCAATATTGCTTATTGTATAATTTACATAATGTTTATTAGAAGTAAGTCTTTGATTCAAAATAAAGATATTTGATCAAATTCACTGCAATAGCATGTGGTAATAAAAATGCTTTAAACCGAGTTTCGGTATTTACAAAGTAAATTTTAATGTACTACGTTATTCATTTAAAAACGATATGCAATAAAAATTATCATGCTTTGCACTTGAAATTGACTTAATTATCTTGATTGTGTGTATAAAAAATAGCATGTTACGTGGTCGCTAGAAGTATGTGATTAATTTAATTCGAAAATTAAACTCTTCTAAATTTATTTCATATTTTCTAAACTTCTGTTTATTTGCGTTGTTGCCAAGCAATTTAAATATGTTTTACTATCTAATATTGAATTACTATAAATTCGAAAATCTTACATTATTGAAATTTACAAAGTAGGTCGCGATATTCCGTGTGCAAATAAAAACGAAGTACTCTGCTATATTATTTAAGCAATTGCGAGGAACATGCAATATCACGAATTTACTATTGAAATACCGTAGTGGAATGTGGAAAAAACCTGCTGAATCAATATAAAGAGTGTTTTGAAAATAAATGCCATAAATGCCAAATGCCAAGAGCTTAGAATAATATGAAAATAATTTTTTCCGAAGGACCATGAGATATAGGGAAATATAATTTATTTTATATATTTTTATTCCAATCGTATGTCATTGTTATCGACTTGTGACGTGACTATAGAGTAAGTTATTATTGAAACCTTGTTTTTGTAATTTTAGTTGAGCTTCCTATTAACAGAGGACCCAATGAAGGTATAGTCTAGCACGTTTTAGCTGTCGGCCAAATTTATTTGACTTTAGTTTTTTTTTAATTGCCAATTAAATAACGATATCATGCAAAAATTAAAAAAAAATACAGGTCAAGTCCTTTGCCACATTGTTTTATTTTATTACACTATCGAACAAGTAACGATCACACCATTATTTAAAGCTTGTATCTGCTTGGTGCACAACACAAGTCCAACTAAAATCTTATACTATAGTTCTGTCTTTTATGTAGTAATACAGAGACAGAGAGGAGTTACACAAGAAGTTCTGTAATAACATATCTACATATAATCTAGCGCCTCACAAATCGATAACAACATTTTGAATAATGCTTGAACGGTTCGTATTAACTTTCATTGCATAATAGTTTTAAGGGACAAAACAACACATCTTTTTGCTGGAAATACCCCATTCTTGGAGGGTCTTCTTCCCCCTTCTTTTCTAGTTAGTCATTCTTTCTTTGCATGAGTTGGTTGCGTAGTTTCCTGTTTTCTGTTGACTGTGTTCTGGTTAATATACATATTAATATATTTTAAGTCTGTTTTGGACCATTTTATTACATCAAAGGAGTATGCTAGGACTGGAATGGCAAAGTTAATTAAACTAATAACTTTTAACAGGTGTTTCGAAGTAAGTCTTTCTTTTTATACTGTTGTTGTTTTGATTAAACCCTAGATATTTATATAATTCATGTCTTTCCATTTGGGGTACTGTTTCGTTGTTCATGTTTCCATTTTCCTATTTTCACAAATAATGTATTTTATATACATATTCCGGACTTTATGCATATATCTTTTGGTGTTTTGCTTTAACAGTTCATCAATTGTGTTCGTGTACATACTTATATTTTTATCCATATATATTAAGCGATTTATTTTATATAAGTCCTGTTGTTTCGTTCGATATCCATATTCAGTATTATTTAGATCATTTGACAAAAAAATAAGATACAGGGTGTCTCACGGTGACGGCCCATTAGAATTATTTCAGAGACTACTTTGATTTGAATTTTGAAAATTTGGGATACCGGGTTTTCGGACATGCCCTTCTCACCCTGTATGTTTTTCTATATTCTGATACACAACTTTATTCTCTTTCGAACGGTATCAGGGTTCCCTATACCTATCCTTTCTAGTTTTTAAGTTTACTATTTTTTGTGTAATCACCTAAAATCATGTAATTTCTTGCGAGGGTAGCTGTGGAATTTTTATCAAAACTTCAAAACAAACAACTAAACTGTCAATTTGTTGTTAGTCTCTTGCAGTGACAGTTTAATTTAGTGTTTATAGGAAATGGAAAACAATACATATTCAAATGCTGATATTTTAAATTTATTATTCATTCACGGACAATGAATGGGATTGCAATTGCAATTGCAATGGGATTATAAGCAGAACATGTACAGTTTTTATTGAGACATATCCAAATTTGCCACCAATGAGCAGAAAAATGTTAAGAAGAATTTTAGCAAATCAACTAGAGTATGGTCGAATTTGTGCAGAAAGAATTTTACCAAAACCAATAACTTCAAATGAAGATAATGTAATAAATGTGCTAGCCTATTTTAATGTTCATCCAGAATCCTCAACTCGTGCCGCAGAGTATGATTTAGGCATTTCACTAGCGTCCATTCACATGATGCTAAGAACTAATGATATGCATCCATACAAATTTAAGCTACTTTCTGCTCTTCATCCGGGTGACGCCGTGCAAGCGATACCAAGAAGATCCACATTTTTGCAACATATTATATGGACAGACGAGTCAAAATTTACGAGAAAAGTAATTTTAATAGACATAATACTCATTTGTGGTCATCTGAAAATCCTCATGTTATCCGGGAAAGAAACTTTCAAAATAAATTTAGCGTAAATGTTTTTTGTCTAATTAAAGATAACCAAATTTCTTACCATATCTACGAAGAAAATTTAAATGCCGACAGATATCGCAATATTTTGCAAACGGTTGTGGCAGATTTTCTAGATGATATACCTTTAGACAACAACAAAGTATTGGTATCAACTAGACGGGGCTCCACCTCACTGTCACAATCAAATCGATCAACAACTGATTGAAATGTTTGAAGACAGATGGATGAGATGCCTAATAGGACCGTGGAATTGGCCAGTGAGGTCTCCCGACCTCACTCCATTAGATTTTTATGTTTGGGGAGTAATAAAGCAAAAAGTTTATTCTACACCCGTTGCTACAAAAGAGGATTTGATTGCTCGAATACGAAGAGCGTTCCATGAATTGCCTGTAGCCGAAATAGCAAAAGCGGTGACTGATGGTGTTATGTCTAGAATCCACAAGTGCTTAGCTGTTAATGGGAGTCATATTGAACACTTATGACTTGTTTAAGTCATTTTTTTTATCTTAGTGCATTATTATTATCAACATACATAATTAAAATTGTGTATTACTATGTATGAAGTTGATTTTTTAGAATTCTTAATTTTATTCTGTTCATTGGTAGAAAATTGGGATATATCTCATTAAAAACTGTAAATGTTCTGCTTAGAATCCCACTGCAACGTCTGTGAATAAATAATAATAAATAACTGGTAACAGTTTAGTTGTTTCTAGCTATCCTCGCAAGAAATTACATGATTTTAGGTGATTACACAAAAAATAGTAAACTTAAAAACTAGAAGAGATAGGTATAGGGAACCCTGATACCGTTCGAAAGAGAATAAAACTGTGTATCAGAATATAGAAAAACATACAGGGTGTTCCATTTAAAAAAACCGACTTATGAAGGTTTGAAGTTAACTAAACTCGGCATTAAATTTTTAGTACACTGTATGCAATTAAGCCACTTTGAAACTATGGATGGGAAGCTTAGGGGTCTAGCTCTAGCTATCCCCCCTATAAATATTGTTGCTTTATCTTTCTTACTATAAAATACACATGGTTTGAAGCTAGTCACTGTTTCTCTCCAATTTTTTTGAAAAAAATTAAATATCTCGAAAACGATTAATTTTAGGAATAGGGACACTTCATAAAAATCCACCTAAAATAACACGTAGAATCCAGAATTGCAATAATATATACGGTATTCCATTTAAAATAAGCAAAATAATAATAAAATAATTCTAATGGGCCGTCACCGTGAGACACCCTGTATATACAATGCCATAGAGCACTTAGGGCGTCACCTTGAAATATTCCACGTCTAATACTAATAAAATCGGTTTCTCTGACTGTTGATCTTTAATTGTATTTTGGTTTTTCATCTTCTCATTATAATGGATAGAAAGTTTTGAATCGTTCTGAATTTTTTTGGCGATTATCAACAACTACGTGATTATATTGTTTACCGTTAGTTGTGTCTTACATCTTTGACTTCCTCCTTTACTTCGATTTTGTTCCTCAGTCAGTTTATTATTGCTAGTTGGTTGTTGTTCAATTTTATTTGCTGTTGACGCTGTTATTGTCTTATATAAGCTAGACAAACTTTAAATATTGTGAGATGACCTTTGGTTTCAGAATTACTTTATTTATTATTATTTTAATATTATTATTATCATAGAAAGTGATTGCGAAACGTTTCTATCTTTAATAGTAACCCAGGTACCTTAAGGTAACATTGAAGAGGCCTTTGCATAACTTGCCGGTTGAAAAAAAAATGATAGGATATCGAGATTGTATGTGAAAACTGATAACAGATTGCTGTGGTGTTATCCCTGAAGGACCGCAACGAATTGGGCAGATGGAGATAATTCGTGTGTGGGGCGCCAGAGTTACGTAACGCCCCGTATCCCGAAAAAGGAAGAGGAAGACAGCAGAAGTGGCGCATACACACATCGCAGGCGCTTTTCTATTGATTCCAGACCTACTCCACGCCGAGCAGCAGATCGCGACTGCTAAGGTGGGGCTCGACATGTCACACGGCCGTTCGACTTGAATTCAAATCACTCCAGTGGCCCCTAAAAGAGCGTCCGCAGCTGGGCCCCTTCGCGTCTTGCTCAGTGTATGGCTTCCAGGCCCCTATTCAACAAAGTCCCAGTGCCCAACCACTAGAACTCATGATTGGCTCCTTTTGGAACTTGTGCCGTGCTTGCCCTTCGATGCCTGTCGATAAGGTAAAATACTATAACTCTAGACAGTATAACCCCATTTCTGTGATCGAGGAAATATCATCCCCATTGCAGAAACTAGTAAATGTCACCCAGTATCGCAGTAGTTACGGTTCAACATTCCTTCATATTTCCTGTTAAGAAATTCTCTTAGTACCTACTAATATCTATAAGGTTTACATTTTTTTTATAAGAAATCAATACAATTACGAATGAATATAGAAGTGGACAATGGTCGATTAAGAGAAAAGATGCCCTTCTCAAAAGTGTAGTAATTTATCATAGTTTTAGTTGCAAGATTAATAACTACATTTTACATCTATCAAAAATTTTTCATTCATATTTACTACTGCGGCTACTATACTTCCGAGAAACAAGACTAGTTTATTCTTCACATTACAAAATCAGTAAGGCATGTAGTCATTGGCATTCATAGAAGTGCACGCCAAAAAGTAATTAGACATAATAGGATCTTGTGCTAATTTTTTTTCTTTATAATTCTGTCCTTCCTTTTTTACCATGCACTGCGGTAAAAGGTTTCTTTTCCTATTAGATTTGTTAGTTTATTCCGTCGAATCACATTTATATGTGAAATTCTGGTCTGAAATTAATTATTTTAAATTTTTCCGTTTATAGTAGTTTGTTCCTGTAAAGGATAAATGCCATCTATTAATAACGTCCAAACATTAACTACTAGACGTTTCTTTTTTACCGCTCATATTCCAAGGCATTAAGGGACATTGATTAAACGTCTGCAATTAATTTAATATTGCGGAACCATACAGGTAAGCGTGAAACCGATATAATTGACCTACAAAGAAAATTGATCAAATTAGGCGTTTTAAATATCAGAACTATGTCATTGGCATCTCTATGTAAATTATTCGCATTTTATCAGTCAATTACTACCCCTTTCACTCCAGAAACTCCTTTAATTACAGACTAAGGGACGCGGAAGTTTTAGTCCCTATTAGAACTTGCAAAGAATTTGCTCCGTCAGTCTTCCGTATGGTATTGAAATTGATTCCCCAAAGACCAGGCGTAACAATTCCTTTATAAATTGTAGAGGAGATATCTTAATGAACTCTTGAAACTTCTTTAACTCTCACTGACTTATATATGCTCTGTTTATTGATTTTGTTATTCTACAAAAGATCCCGGACCAATCATAGCTATTGCTATAGGCTCCAACGCATCAACTTCTTCATCCGTTGCGGTTTAATGTTACCTTGTCCTGTATACATTGCAGCATTAGAGCATTTGTAATGTGGTATATTTGATAATCTCCAGAGCTTTTGCCCAGACAGTTCACAAGGCTTTCTGAACTAGTCAAACAGAATATGTCTTGTATGCTTATCCAGATAAATTATGTACACCTTAATTTAAAACTCTAGAGACACATTCAAATGACTCGACCAAAATGTCCTCTTCCCTCGATTATTACTTCGTAACTGTTTCTCTTTCTGAACCGTTGCTCGATAGTACGGAACTGTTCAGTCTAAGAAATAATCTTCGGCTACCATCTCTTATTTCATCTTCTCGCATTGTCTTTCTGGATTAGCAAGGGGGTTATTATGATGCACAACATGCAATACATCTTTGGACGGCGTGATGGGGGACATATTAACTATCTTCCTACGCTTAAAAGAGTTGTTGTTCTTTGGCTTCAACGACTAAAGTCATCCAGTCTGGTATGCCTCTTTTTGAAAATGATAACTGTAACTTAGACAACCCACCGTACGCCGTTACTAAAACGAATGAATATTGTGATTGGTGGTAGCATCAAAAGTAGCGTTGATGCAGGGTGTCTTGGGGTTAAGTTAATTTTTCGCTATGATCAATTTTCAGCTACACTCCGAATATCGGAGCACATATCGATGGCACGAGTATACAGGCCCAAGGCAAGAGGTGGTCAGAAGACCCCCACAAGCCAACATTGCGGAAAAAGCCAACGATCCTCAGCCTGCAACCAAGAGTAACGATGAAGACTTCCAAACCGACTCATGTGAGTGAACATGTCTGAAAGTGTATCAAAAATATTGATTAATCTTCAAACTTTAGGACGTTGTTGTTAAAATTAAAGCGGACACTTCATTTCTATTTTAGTGCCCAAGTTGGAACCAGCTATGCCTAGAAGAAAAAAGTACCCCGACTTGGCTTACCGACATCACGAGTTCTTGGTAAGCGACGGCCCGACCAATGAATTTTGCAGTGCTGACAGGGCAAGGGTAAGTTTTGGGTGGCAAAGAGTGGTTTATTAGTGAAATATGCACGCACTGCTGTATAGTTGTTAGGAACGCGATTGCTTGTGTTAGCATAGATATAGATATTACATTCCCTCTAGCCACGTAAATCATGCCACTAACTGTATAGTCGATTGCCAAATATCTACTCAAATAGGGGAACGAGTCACTTTTAGTATCCAATATACAACTCGTATCGTGACAAAAAGGAAGGAAATAACTTCGCCAAAGTTTCGATCCTTATTATAAAATCGATGCCTCTGAAGCCCTATTAGTGGAGCTAACTCTTCATGTGAACCAAGAAGCTTGGAAGGGAGAGAGGACTGCATATTATTCTGTACCAGATAATTGGATATTTAAAACTTTAGTTCCCCATTTTGAGAAGATTTAATAAAAGCCTAGTCAAATTTAGTTGTCCCCACCGATTATTAAAACCGATAGGAAACAGGTTTTTTAATAAGAATCGGAATATATAATGCTGTACATTGCCTAATTTTACATTTAACGATCTTGATAAAATGTAGGCAAAATTTAAATAATCCGCTTTTTATTAAATGTGCTTGCCTAGTTTATATGCATATTTAAGCTTAAAAAATAATGTTTTTTAACTCATTTTACATCAGAGCTACCGTATAAACTAGGTTACGGATACGTTCATCTGAAGTTAATGAGAAATTTCACTTCTGATGAACCCTTTCCTCATCTAACATCGCGACCATCATGTAGAATATAATTCGCATACGTACGAAACATCTCAGGGACGAGAGTGCGTTCACTAATCATACTGAGACGTTTTGCACCCGCCCCCGTGAGCGTCGAACGCCAAGAGCTAACGCTAGAAAAAGTTAAGAACAGAACCAATTTATTTGAGAAGTATTGCTCTCCGCCTTGCCTGCATGTTTTCTACCGACAAACAGGAATAGTAAATTGGGATACGTTTGATACTTTTTTCAACACTATTTTTGACGACAAATTGACAAACTTGCCAAATTTTAACACGCGAAAATATTAGATCCTACGTAAGTTTTTGCAGATGTAAATAAAATATATTTATTTTCATAATTTTAGGCGGGACTTAATATTTTTACAGTTTTGGACCCATAAGCAGGCATTATTATTTACCAGTTGAAATCAACCATCTGTATCAATAATCAAATAATACAAACATAGTTAGTCATTTTGCAAGTGCATTTTTAAGACCAAAAGGTATACAAAGAAATTCATTCGAATCGTACGTCCCAACGGTTAAATCTAGCATTTTTTTATCGTACACCTCATGTATCGTAATACAATTTTTCTGTACGGAAATTACAATTATTAGATGCGTTTATGTGATTCAAAATGGCTGCTATAGTTTTAAAACATGTTCGGGAAAAATGGTGTTAAAGAAGTATCGATTATCCTGAAACTTTTTGCTCTCCCTGTAGGTAAAAAAAATTAGACGGCTAATCAATACCCACCGCTCGATAGCCCACAGCCCACAAACTACACTGCCATTAATATCAAGTTAGCTAATTTTGGGCCGAACACGATTTTGAGTGCTATAGAACGCAAATTGCAATACAGAGCTTACTGAGTTTTACAAATTTTTGCATACCAGTAACAGCTATTCTTACACAGTTTGTTTTTTATTCGATCGACTGATTATTGCATACAGTATAATGCTATTGAATTGTATTTTTTTAATGGGTTGGCATTTCAGAGTGCACAAAAGGCACAGACATTCGCAAATGTTTCCAATAGAGTAGGACCTCTAAAACACGTATTTATAAACTAAACATTTTGGAATTGACTTGGAAAACGAGAAATTGTTACTTGGAAAATGGGAATGAATTCATAATTAGTGTTTTTTTCTGAACAATATAATTATTAACTTTTAAATACCATTCGCGCAGGAAGTTTTATTAAAAAACTGTATGAAGCTATGAGGGTACCAGCACAATTAGCTGAATTGAATTCAATATAGCGTCCTTTATATGGGTTCTTAGTTGGCAGTGAAACGCTATACATGATATACATACAAGGTGGTATGCGATTTTAATAAGAGTTGCAAACAGAAATACAAAAAGTGTTAATAATTGTTGCACAAAAATTAGGCGGTTAAGCCTGTGTTGAATTAAAAGGATTAGCTAAAAACAATTGCCCTAATTAGAGAACTTAATGTTTGTCCTGCAGTATACAGTTTTTAATTATAAAAGTTATGTTTAATTAATGATTTCAAATAATTTCACTTAAAATTGAAAAATAAATAATAAAACGTACCATTAAATATGATTCCACAGCGGATATATTTAAAACATCCTTCCATAGTTGTACATACAGGATGTTCCGCGAGAAGTGTGGCTCGGAAATGAATTGTTTGATACTTTACAAAATCGTGCTAGTAATTTTGCATTTAACTTCTACGTTTGTCATTTTTTTTTCGAAATATGTTATTCTTAATTAAAAGATAAAGAATACACAGTTCAACCAATTTCATCAGGTTCGTGTAAAAGATTAGAGGATCGAGTGGTGGGAACTAAGTTACAGTTCGGAAGAGAAAGCGAAAATGGGTAAAACCTTTAATATATCACCTGTAAAGATGTATTTATTTATTCATTATTTTAGCATTATTACACATCTGCTTTGCGCATTTCAAATTTTGTTTGAAATTTTTGATGCGGGCTTTTTTACTTTTTGTGAGAAATGGGCTTCGCTGGTCGCTTATACACTTCGTCACTGCGCACTCGACCTTCACTGATCAGATGAAATAAGTTGAACTGTACATAAAAAATGGCTTAAATTACATAATAACGATTGTATTTTTTGACAGTAAAAACAAATAAACAAATAGAAATATGCAAACATAGTCTAATACTGTACTATACCTTTTTTCTAATTTAATTTACAATTTTAATAAACCTAACCTTGTTACAATATGTTTATATATATTTCTTATGGTTATTTACGTCTATTTGTTACTATTTTTGTATGTCGATTTTCTTCAACTTTAGTTACATTTTGAGTGGACCTATTAATTAAAATTAAACTAAAAAATACAAACAGTTTTATGCAATTTATACTATAAACGAAAATTGTCATATGCGTAAAGTTATACAAGGTGTTTTATAGGTACATTACAATCAGCGGATACTACATATTGAAATATTACGATTTAACCAAACTTACCTTAGTCCAAAAAATACTTAAAAAGATATGGGACGTCAAAGAGAAAAATACGTTTTCATTATTTTTAAACAACCTTTACAATTTTGGGCATCATTGTTATTTATTAGTGGGCGCCACTTACGGCAATTGTATGTCTTTAAAATGTCATAACAATTTGCTCCTCGGTATATCTGCCTCTTTGATACTTCCTTTCGTTTTCCTCTTTTCTACGTACAAGAAACATACTTTGCAAGTATCGCTGCGAGTGACCATTTTCGAGAAGCAAGAAAACGTTTTAAAGACGAGCAAAGTGGGCGCCACTCTAATAAGTAACAGCAAAATTATGACGGGCTGGTAATGTCAACTGAAAATGTTTTATTAAAATTTGTGCACTTCGTAGTGGAACATCCTTATATACATTAAAAGGGAAGATGGTCAAGAATTTGAATTTGCCTAGTCTTGTCTTGAAGGTGGAATGAAAATGGAATGATAAATACAATGAAAATGCTTAAGCATCTTTCTCTCTCTTGCTAAAACAATTGCTATAGGGTTTTATACACGTGATTAAAGCACTTTGTTTCTACCTGCTGTATTAAGCATTTTCGTGTTCGCTGCTGCTAATTTTAGACAAAGCTTAGTTAGGTGACAACAGACTAGAAAAAAAGATTGATATGTTCCGTCGAAAGTAACGTTAATTGGGGAACGCGAACGTGAGCGACAATGGTGATGGGAACCCCTAGGGAACTGTTGGAATTAATGGAATGTTCACAAGTAGGGTGTAATTACAGCCCGTTGATTAATAATTAGCGTCAGATTTAATGGCACATGACAAATCTAAGGCAGCTAAATTAGAAGCCACCAGATCAGTTCGGCAAACCGTAAGCCGGGAACGACGATTTATTGATTTAGTAACCTAAAATGTAACCGCAAACAATCAACACGCCACATGATGTAGGTATGCATAATTGAACCACAAAAAACTTTATGGCCACAAAAATAGAATGGAATTCACCTGATAATTTATGCCCATTATTGTGGTTTATGTCAGATAAGTTTTCCTATTAAAAATGTATTCTTGCATGCTAAAGAAATGTACGTGCTGGGCTATCCGATGAAGGTCGTTGAATTGAAATGTCGTACGTACACGGTTTATACAGGGTGTCCCAATATGTACCACATTTAAATCGGATAAAGGATTCTATATACAGGGTCGGAAAGTCCCCATGGTTCATCGGTCGTTACGTGAGAGCGATAAAGTAAGTCATAGAAATCCGTGCGATAGAGAAGGATGGTTATAATGAAGGCGTCTCATAGTCACCGCCCGTTTCGCCTTTCCACAAATAAGATCCACTTCCACTTGTAATTCAGCGACCGGTGGTCATCTTTGTTTTCGTCGTTTGGCTTTTCTTTAATAGATGTCACCACTTATACAGTTTCGACTTCGGTATTCCGATATGTTAATACCATCCGTTAATAGAGGGCAGCACAACGCGCAACAAAGAAAACTTTTTGCAGTAGCTACTAGATACCTCTGTTTGTAAATCTAGTGACCTTGTTTGCCCTACTGAGAAGTTATTCAAATGGAGTATAGTGCTCAGCTGCATTTAAAGTTCATTTAGTTGTTATTTAAGTATACTTTTTAAAATGACATAAAAATCCCAAGAAATAAAGCAAAATTTCCTATTTTCCCAATTCCAAAAAAATCTGTAGATCTGTTGCCCTCTGTTAATGGATTGTATTAACATATCGGAATACTAAGTCGGAATTGTATAAGTAGTGACATCTATTACAGGAAAGGCAAACGACGAAAACAAAGATGACCACCGGTCGCTGAATTA